AATACAAATTTGATTTGAAGCTTTCGTGACTGCAGGAATTACTCTTTGGTTCTTTCGGTAAAGTCACGTATAAATACAATAACTAATAGAATACGACGTTTCGGTTGCAACACAAGCAACCGTCATCAGGTGTGAATGAGCCACAGAGAGACACACAGTGAAAGACACACATAGAGAGACACAGAGAGAGACACACAGAGAGAGACACACAGATAGAGAGACAACACACATACAGAGAGAGACACAGAGAGAGACAAACACAGAAAGACAAACACAGAGACAAAAAAGAGGGAGACAGATAGAGAGACAACACACATACACAGAGAGAGACACAGAGAGAGACACAGAGAGAGACACACAGATAGAGAGACAACACACATACAGAGAGAGACACATACAGAGAGAGACACAGAGAGAGAGAGACAAACACAGAGAGAGAGAGAGACAGAGAGAGAGACAAACACAGAGAGAGAGAGACACACACAGAGAGAGACAAACACACAGAGACACAGAGAGACACATGGGGTAGAGACATAGAGAGACACACACGTAGAGAGAGACACACAGAGACACTCTCTCTGTGTCTCCTTCCCTGTCTGTGTTTGTCTCTCTCTCTCTCTGTGTATGTGTCTCTCTCCGAGCTTGCATTCATTCACACCTGATGACGGTTGCTTGTGTTGCAATCGAAACGTTGTATTCTATTAGTTATTTAATTTTCTTTCTACATGACTTTACCGAAATAACCAAAAAGTAAAATTACACCTTACAATTACAATATTTCCTTTAATTACGACCTCATTCTAAAAAAAGTTATTGATATAGGTTCACAGATACTAATTACCACAATATTGTAGCTAAAACACCAGAACATTTTGACAAAATCAGCGACTATAGAAACACGAGCAGCGCCGAACACAACAGCGCATGCTCGAAGCGCGTGCAGACGAAACCACGTGACTCGACGCGTCACTGCGGTTGGGTAACAATGACAGCTCTGACCGGAGCGCATTAGAAGGTTCGATAAACTCGTTTAAAAAAAACAACGGTTTTATTAACAACCTTGTTTAACTCATGGTCGAGAAGTACATCAATGGCGCCGGAGACACGCGGCGCCTGCGTTTTGTGCGAGCCGATTGCACAGTTTAGGGACCGTGGCGTTTTTGACCAACACAAAAATATATAAATAATTAGGCGTCCATACAAAATGTCAATTGCTTTAAAGTAGCGAATTAATTGATTAATTGATGCCGATTTTGCTACGGGCATGCATTGTCACCGGATCTGAGTACGTGTGCAAAATTAGGGATTGATTGGACAACGGGAAGTGGACGAAATTTTGATACAAGATTTGACCACGACAAACCGAGGAATCAAGTTAAGTAAAACCGTTGAAAAAGTAAATTAGCAACGAGTTTTAGCCTTGTAGGTATATTGATACAGTACATATAAGCTGGGCTTACGAAAAAAATGTTGTTATAACTACGGGGATATTTTTTTATAAAAAGTAATACATTTCTGCAGAAACACTGCACAAAAATGTTTTATAGACAGTCATTTTGGTGTCAGCTCCTCTGATGGTGTCACCCGGTGCGGTCCGCACTGGTGGTGGTCATGGCTGTGGTGACATTGGTGTGGTGATGGCGGTGGTGGTGTTTGTTGGTGGTCGTGTTGGTGGTGGTCATGGTTGTGGTGACATTGGTGGTGATGGTAGTGGTGGTGGTAGTGGTGGTGTTTGTTGGTGGTCGTGTTGGTGGTCATGGTTGTGGTGACATTGGTGGTGATGGTAGTTGTGGTGGTAGTGGTGGTGTTTGTTGGTGGTCGTGTTCGTAGAGGTCATGGTTGTGGTGACATTGGTGGTGATGGTAGTTGTGGTGGGAGTGGTGGTGTTTGTTGGTGGTCGTGTTCGTGGTGGTCATGGTTGTGGTGACATTGGTGGTGATGGTAGTGGTGGTGGTAGTGGTGGTGTTTGTTGGTGGTCGTGTTGGTGGTGGTCATGGTTGTGGTAACATTGGTGTGGTGATGGCGGTGGTGGTGTTTGTTGGTGGTCGTGTTGGTGGTGGTCATGGTTGTGGTGACATTGGTGTGGTGATGGCGGTGGTGGTGTTTGTTGGTGGTCGTGTTGGTGGTGGTCATGGTTGTGGTAACATTGGTGGTGATGGTAGTTGTGGTGGTAGTGGTGGTGTTTGTTGGTGGTCGTGTTCGTGGTGGTCATGGTTGTGGTGACATTGGTGGTGATGGCAGTGATAGTAGTGGCGGTGGTGATAGTGGTGCTGACGGCGATGGTAGTGGTGACTGCTCGCGGTATTGCTGGTGGTGATCATGTCATATAAAGGAATTGCAATATTTGACAGAAAGATGTTATAAATTTTGATCTCCAGTGAAGAGCTTCTGGAGATGCGGAATGAATCTGAGCGATGTTTCCGTGTACTGATTAGACGTTCCTTTGTGCGACGTTCACCGCATTCGCACTATGGCAGGCACTTGAGTCTCCTGTGTCGGTAGTGGTGGTAGTGACAATCGTATTGTTCACGATAGTGGAGGTAGTGATGGTGCTGGTGGGGGAGGTAGATGCTTATTTGGTGGTGGTGGATGTAATAATGATGGTAATGTTGGTAGTTGTGATGGTAATTTTGGTAGTAGGGGCGTCACGGTGGCGAGATGTTCACTACCCCGTCTGGTATGCAGGAGGTCGTGGGTTCGATCGCGATCACGATGCCTGTTTATTTTGCGGTTTGCGTGTTCTCCCCGTGGTCGCGTGGATTTTTCCCCGGGTCCTCCGATTTTCCCCTCCACATTTAGAATCATGCTTTTAGAATATTTGGCTGCTATACATTTCCACATGACACTCCACTTCGTTGAGCTATCATTTGTGGCCAGATCGCTTCTAAAAAAATAGCTATATAGCTCAGTGGGCCTTACCTGGTGACATAAAACATAGCTTAAATGAGTTTATAGGTGGTCAGGATGGTAGTTATTGGATTGGCGGTGGTGGTAGTCGTGGTTATCATGGCAGTGGTAGTGAGGGTGGTAGTGGAGCAGCTACCCCAGCGTTTTGACCGATGAGTTTTTGGTGTCCCACCACTCTTCAGAGCAGCTGGGTCCTGGATTAGAGCCATCTGTACAGCCACTACCCGGCTTAGCCATGCAAGGATTACACAAAACCTTATCTTTTTTATTTCAAATCAACATGATTAAAAGGTTTTAGGGTTATAAGAGTCCTGCATGGATTCAGCGGAGACACTGTATAAAAGGAAGCTTTTCAGAAAAACTTGAGAAAGTACAGTACTGTGTGGTAATTTTAACCTGCAAAAAAAACACATTGAGAATGCATAAAAACAAAGTCAAAAAAGCGATCAGCCTTTTAGTAGACATGATGTCTACAACAGGGGCCAAGTTATTTCATATGTGTAGCCCTGTATAAGAATGTCTGGACACAAATTAATAATACGTTTAACAGAACAGAGTTGGTGTAAAATCGACAAAAATTGATTGTGGAGATATAATAACGGTGGATATGTTAAGCGAGGCACAACTGGGACAAGGCAATGTTCAAAGCTGGCCAGTGAAGACAAAATCTGACCCCCCTCCTCTCCCATTCCCACAGGATCCAGTGGCAGCATCGGCGATACTTGTTAGTGCAGTCGAACCTAACTCGAGTCACTCAGGTGACGAGACGCAGAGGTGACCAGGCAGGAAGGTGGTGGGGGGTGTTGTGGCGTGCGGGGCGTGATGTGGTGGGGGGGGTGGGGGTGTTGTGGCGTGCGGGGCGTGATGTGGTGGGGGGGGGGGGGTGCTCGGAGGGACCTGATGTCAGTGATGTTTCTGTGGAAGCCGCAGTGATGTCGAGTGAGACGACATCAACAGCGCCGATCGATCGGCCGCGATCAAAATCGCCCTGAACGCACCCGAGCCTGCCGGATCTCAGAAGCCAAGCCGGTTGTGGCCTTGGTAGTACTCGGACGGGTGATGGAGAGTGTTTGCCAGGTGTTGTCGGCGTGGGGCTGGGAGGCACGCCGAGGGTCACCCCCTCGCATGCGTCGAATTTCTCCGGGTCCTCCGCTTTCCTCCCACACGAAACTAAACACTCGTGAATGGGAATGGCCAAACATCCGAATGCAGGACCCTCTCGATAAAGAGTCTTGAGGCTCGGGCTTTCCTGGACAGAGACCATTGTTATTATTACCATAAAAAACTCCAGGTTGAGCTGGTTACAAACTCCACCGTGGGTTTTGTAACCTCCGATGATGCGTGCCGGTGGATTCATCGATGTGGCTCTATCATCCCTTTCTACACCAGATAGGCTGTCGCAACAATGTGCGTGTGTGCTAATAATGAATTAGTTAAAATAATTGACGTGGAAAACTCCCTTGAGGGAGAAGATCTCCTTCGCAAGGGTGTAAATTGAGCACGAGGTTGAGCAATGGGAGCGGCGCTGCTGCTCTTCACGCACAAAGACAACGTCCACCCCCGCAAAAGCCACACAAGTTTGAGCGACTGCTGTTCGCGAGCCCTGCTTAAGGCTGCAACGGCGGCACAAACGGTGGTGGCGTCATCAGCGCCATGCTCGGCCACCCGCTGTCTCCCAGTGCTGACGTTGCATACCCTAACCGAGTACCCATGTAAGGCTGAATTGACCCAGAGGACCCCCAGGGCGAGGTCGGTTGTCGTTCACCGCTGCCGGACTTTGCAGCTCAGTGTGCTATCCACCATCATGCAGTCACTGGTCGGGTGTACACACACACACACAATAATACCTAGGATCTATAAGCGGTGCTTAATTTCTCCCTGAATACTTTCCTGGTCACTGGTAGACTGAAATAGGTGGCACATGGCGTGCAGCCACAGCCGTAGCAGGAGATATGCTGCATGTGGTGTGCCTTTTTACGTAATCATTTTCAGGACGGGAATCATCGGAAATTCACTCCTCGCGATTGTAAAAGAACGTACGCGCTGTCTGACGCGGCTGGGGCGCGTGTGTGTGTGCGCGTGTGTGCATGCAGGTGTACCCGTGCCTGCCGTACCAACCCCCTAGCAATCCCCGAAAACCCTGTCCCTCCAGCATCCCCCGCCGCTACATCCCGGGCAGGATGGAGGGAAAGATCACCGAGTCGGGACTCAACGTGACGCTCACCATCCGTCTGCTCATGCACGGCAAGGCGAGTGGCGGCACCGCACAGCACCGCACCACTCGTGGCCAGAGCTTAATTTCTCATCACAGAATGTTTTCTAGGCGTCCCCCCCCCCCAACTTTCCCACCCCCGCCCCCTTTCTCCCCAAAAGCGGGGAGTGGGGTGGGTGGGTCGGTGGTGGTGGCGGCGGGGAAGTATTTTCAGGAGCTCAGTCCCTGGACAGCTCCGAAATGAAGCCCTGTTCACGACACACGCACGGCAGGGATTGCACCGTCACCAATGGCAGGGGCCTCCTGTCGAAACTTATAGCCGACCTGTGCTCAGTGGGAGGTCGCCCCTGTCCTCTGTTGCCCTCACAGGATGGGACTTCGTCCTCCTCCCCTCCAGCCATCCGTGCTGGTGGCTCCCTGCCACTATTCAATTTCAGGCTCAAGTCTTTTCCTCTATTCTTCTGCCTCGAATATATATTTAAAATGTGTACTGTCTATATTTACGGTCTACGTGATGTTTATGTCACGCTGTTTTTGTGCGGCGTCTTAGGATGGAATTTTACTTAGACGCGATATAAATCCAAATCTGATTGGTTTGTTATGACCGTAACCTTCCCGTGTCATTACACTGGTCTAGGTTTATTTTCTTCTTTTCAGCCAAAAGTCCTGTTGTTTGATGGGGTTGATTGCTTAAACGTTCTATCTCCATGCTTCTCTATTTTGTGTCTCTTCTCTGGCCACATCCACCGCCCTCATGTCTCGTTCCACCACGTCTCCTCTACCCTGCACCAGTGCCACCTCCTCAGCTCTGTTCTTTCAGAATCACAATCAGAATCTGTATTTATACTGGAGGAATCCGATAAGCTATAAAGCTCTTTTTCACAGATGTCCAGTTGGGGCGGGTCAGAACGTTACAACAACAAACAGTACAAAAACACAATCGGAGTGCAAATTATAGGAAAGGTAAACATCCTTTTTCGTCTCTTCTTGGCACGTGCCCAAGTCTCCCTGACCTCAGGAATATTAGTTACCCTGCATGCTAAGGCCCTTAACTCTTAATTGTGCCTTTAAGTTTATTTCCAAGGTATTCTCCAAGAAAATAACGAATTTTACATTCAAACCACAGCACTTCTTAAGACAAACTTCAAGGTTCCTACACTATATCTCAAAAAGAAATGCAAAATTCGTGGTTGAATTAGAATTATGTTTTATTAGCTTGCAGAGCTTTGTTACATTGATTGGCGGGTGTGAAATGGTCACAGTTATACCGTGTAGTTTGGTAGCAAGTCAATTGCAGGTTACAGATGAAATCATCAGAGTAGAACGTTGAGTTTTGAAACAAAACACCTTCAACCGCATTCTCTAATCACATTACTTTTACAAAAGGGTGGCATTCTCTGAAACGAGAATGCTAAATAATCAAATAAACTAGTACAAGACATTTCGAGACATGAGGCAGGACTGTAAAGCCCTCACCCATTTCAAATCCAATCCAAAACGGATTGTTAAGGCTGTGGAAAGCTGAGGTCCTCAATGATCATTAACAGAAGGCCACGGGACCACCAAAAGGACAATAACACCCAAAGCCCTGTCCCCTTGATGGTATAGTAGGCCTTAATCAGGTTACTCGTTTCAAATTAATTTTGTTTAACCAGGTGAGAGCTTAAAAGACCAGGATAATTTCATTTGCAAGAGGGACCTGGGGAACTAGTCTGCTCATAGGCGGTGATGATTGCCGCTCTGTGTATAATCCCAACGTATAACGAGGCAATGCCCCATCCACAAATACGAAGGAGACATCACAGGGATACACACCGCTGCTCCTGATGCAGTTATCTGACTTGACCACCTCAATGTGAAGTTGTGGTTGTTGCTCTGCACCTACGTCAGCAGCCATACCAAAGAATATTGAATAATTTGCGGTGTAATTTTCTAATTTGGCTACTTTGGTACCTTGATGCTGGCACGCGATGGCACTGCTCTAGCGAATGATGTCAGGGGGTCTTTAACATCTCCCGTAAGGCAGACGGCACGTTGTAGTAGTATTGTTATGGTTGTCACACGGCGGTAATAGTGAGGGCGGCCGCTGGAATTCCGAGCCGTGAACCTCTGCACAAAAAGCAGCGATCGAGCCTCCGCTGGGCCGGCGTCACCGCCCCTGTAAAGCGCAGGTGCAGGAACATTCTCCAAACATCGCGGGGCTCCGCTTCCCGCACCTCCGATCACACCAACGTCACGGTGACTTACGCCGGGACGAACCCTTCGGCGTAACAGCGCAGCCGGCACAATGTGCCATTTGGCAGAGTTAGGGGGATCGTGCAAGAGAGGATGCGGTTTAGTCGGTCGATTGATCGGTCGATGGATCGGTCAGTTGGTCGGTCGGTCGGTCAATCGATGGCGATTGTGGTTGAGCCTTGTTTCGCTGAGAGACGTGACAGCACTTCCACTCCCGAACCAAAGCCCTGCCGCACAACAACGCCCGCCCTCGTCCGGCTCCCACTGTGCGGCTCCGCGGAGCGATCGACGACGGTGCTCGCTGGAAGTGTTTAACGCGGTGGTGGCACGCCCCCGCCCCCCCCCCCCCCCGCGGTGAGGGCATTCATCGCTGTGGCGGCGTGGGTGTCGCGGTGGATGGGGAGTGAGCGCGGCGCACAGGGACACGACATGTGCGGCTCGCCGATGCGGAATGTGGAACAAGATGAACGTTTCACACGACACAGAGCAGGGCCAGCGGGTAATGGCGGGCACTTTCAATTTCAATCGTGCTGTATGCTTCTGGCTGCTTGACGTTTTGGGGCCCCTGGGCCTGTGCTTGCTCAGCGACTGTGATTTAAACAAAACTAAAAAAAACAGCCCTCTTCTGGCTTTATAAAATATTTACCCTGTTGCGGATTGTGGAATGTATTATTCATCATACTCTATCGAACAACAAGGCATGGGGAGGTCTTCATCCAGCAGTGGATTGATTAAGGGGTGTACATTGTTCTTATATTCTACTGTTGCGTGTGGCAATATGTTCAGGAGCTAAATCCCAATGTGGAAGTCTGCTCGCCACGACCAGAGGGCTTTAGCAGAGAGTTCGTGTCGTTTTGCTGTTCCTCCTCCGTTGAAGGAGTGCAGACTACAGTGGTTTACGATATGGTCCATAGTTTGGATTGCACAGTCACAATCACACCATTCTGGCTTTAATTTCATTTTCCTTAAATTAACATCGTTTTTTTTTATTACAGATGATGGAATTTAATTCGTTTTGGTAGAAATTAGGCGAGTGTGTGTCGATATGAAAGGCAAAACTGTCTTCGTGTCACTCCAATGTATTCTGTCTTGCCTGTTTTGTGTGTTTTTGAATTCATGAGTTTTTTGCATTTGGTTTCCAAAACGTCTACCCAACAGAAGCCCAACGTACTTTTTTGCAAATACATCTTCATGATCTCCCGTTGTGCTTTTTGTACGCTGCTTCGGTGTACATACATATAATAACGATGTCCATATAATAACGATGTCCATATAATAACGATGGGACAATAAATTGGAATGCAATTAATAAAAGGCCAAACATTTCACCCACCATGATGCAGTTAATTTCAAACGTTGAATACATTCGTGCAGTGGAAACTAAAATATGGCAACAAACGTCGTATTGAGTGCTATTTAAAACAGAATTCATCCAAGCGGGGGGGGGGGGGGGGGGGTCCCTCGCACAAAGTCAGAGACAACATGTTCACAATGGTTGAGGAGCAAAATATTTAACGAAGGATTATTTCAACACAACATCACTCATAAACGACAGTGAGAGTATTGACCATTTGAAGCTGCGTAAAAGCCGACACACACACCCCCTTGGGAGCAAGTTCAGGTGTGCTTATATCCGAAGCAGTGTACTTGTACCAGAAGTTTCCCTTTGGCTCCACCCCGACCCCACCAAGTCCAATGCAAGCACGTGGTTCTTGAGAACTGTGCTTATATAACGTGTGCTTTTCTCCAGCTGCTGCTGTGTTATGACCAGCGGAGGCATACACGGATGGCGTTTACAAGACATTTGCCACAGCGCACGTTGCGTGCGTGTGCGCGTACGTGCGTGTGCGTCTTTGTGCGCGTGTATGCGTGTGTATGTGCGTGCTTTTGTGCATGCGTGCATGTGTGTATTTGCGTGTGCGTGCGTGCGCGTGCGTGCGTCGGATGATTCAATCTGAATTCTCATGCGTCATGTTTTGTCTACTTTGACCAATTGCCGCAGCGGGGAGGCAGTTTTTGTCATTTGGCAGGGCCAGCAATCTTGATCAGCATAACAGAGTAATTGTGGGGTGAAAGGGGGGGGGCAATTTGTGGATAGGCTCACAATTGGAGTTTGTGACTAGTGGCAAAGACTTACATTTGTTTAGTGATGAAAATTAACACGTTACTTAACATTGAATGTGCTGCTCCATTATGTTAAAATTCATCCACACAGAGCCCCAGGGAAATGGTTGTATTTGCCATCATCTATAATATCTCGATATGTGCTGACAATTGTCTGTCTAGCTGTGGCATGCCGAAACATACGAAGGGGAATGAAATCATTTGCAAGACTGCTAAGACACACATTGCCAAGCGGGAATAATATCCTTAAACGGCCATGTCTTGTGTGGTACTACTTCCCATATTTGCTGTATTCCACTTATTCCATCAGTTGGAAATTCCACGTTCTCATTACGCAAAGCCAATAACTGTATTTCAGAATCAGAATATTTATTTATACAGAAGAAAAACAGCTATAAAGCTCTTTTTCAAAAATGTCCAGGAAGGGCAGGTCAGAACGTTACAACAACAAAGAATACAAAACACGATCAGAGTGCAAATTACAGCAAAGGTAGGCAAATAACTTTACAAAAATATCCAAATAAAACGAAACCAATTTTTTTGTCTTACCAGGTAAAGCCCACTTAGCTATTCACTTATTTTTCAAAAGCGGCCTGGCCATCACAAATGAAAGCTCAACAAAGTGGCTTAGCACGCAGAAATTTACAGCAGCCAAAAAAATAATCTGAAGAATCTGAACGCGCGTTTGCCGAGGGAGAATCGCACCGCGATTTGGTGTTGGTTTTCTGCGCGACGCGCGGAGGGAATCCGTCGCTGGGTTTGCCGAGCGGTGCAGCGCCGAGCCGCTCTTATGCCCGTGGGCCAGACAGGGCCCACGAAGCAAGATAATTTAATGAAGCGCGGGGCGGAGTAGGGGGGGGGGGCTTGCCGCTCGCTCTGCTCATCCGTCGGAACGGATTTCACGGGCCCGTCGCTGGCTCAGGGCCCAAACGGACGAGATTCACGTCCCTTTCAATCGCAGTGAGAGGCGAAGGGGGAAAAAAAAATATTGTTTTGTGTTATTAGTCGGGACTATTTTTTTTTCTTCCACTGCCTCCCCATCTCTCTTTGTTGGGCTTACAATGTGAGGACAGTTTTTCTTTTGAAATCGGGTTTTTTTTATATTTCTCAGAAGCAGGACAAAAAAGTGTAATTTTTTTATTTCGGTAAACATAAAAAGAACGCGTTTGTTGCGATGTGCGTGCTCAAGTCGGGGAATAAGCGCGCAAAGCCAAGTCGCACTGCTGTCAGCGAGCACCTAATAGGGCACACAGAAGGATCGTGAAGCGAGCAGCATATACCCAGATTATTTTGTCTCCGCAGTGCCCATGTTCATGACCATCTTTCTTTTAGGCTGAGTCAATCTACGTGAATCCCAAGCTGGGTTTCATAAACCACCCTGCTGCTATTGTTGTTTTCGTTTCCCCAATTCGATGTTTAGAAACCACGTGAAGAACTTTGTGCCTCTTTGTCTGACTCCCCTTCTCATGCACTTTGATACTTTCTCAATCTTAATGACAACGAATGTTGTCTGTGTAATCATAAAATATGTCCCACAAACACACGCAACGTTATTCAGTTAGGTACAGCATCAACATACACACGTGTGTCGTTTATTGCTTCAAAGCACTGGTCTTGTCGCCTTTTAATTTATCATGAGCTATTTTTACAGTCATCGTCATCACGTGATTTTGCAGTGTTATGTAACACGCATTTTGAAAGCACAGATTTAATAATTTATGAATAATCGTAATGAAACTGAACATTGTGTACGTGCTGTTGTGACTTTTGTGTCACTGCAGGAGGTGGGAAGCATAATTGGAAAGGTACGTCTCACAAGAAATTGTTGTCACATTTTTCAAACTCTTCATTGCTTAGTTCTTCACCTTCATTGTGGTCTGTTTTCATGAAATGTTTTAGATCCTGTGATAAACTCGAAATCAAAATAAACTATCAAAAATAGCAAACGCTATTCAGAGCACACATGCAACAATGCAATATCAACCGATTCATTATTTCTTAATGCTCAGAGGTCCTCCAAATATTTAGTTTCATGTCTTACTATTTTTTTTGCTCGAATCGCCGAAGGAAAGTTTATTGGTCACAAACGGCGCGTGCAGTCACGTAGAACAACAGATGCTTCATCCCACGTTGTCACACTCATCAAGTGATGCAGCAATTCGCAATTTATTTTGCAGAAAGGGGAGACGGTGAAGAAGATGCGAGAAGAGGTAAACTTATAAGAATTGGTTTTATCCTTTCTGGCGATAAAACAGTTTTTGTGTTAAGATGTTAATGCACCAAACAGAAACCTTTTGCAAGGGATCATGTCTGCATTAACCACGTGGCTATCTTGAGAGCCTCATCTCACTAACAGCGTTAGACCAGAGAACGCCAAAAGGCGAACAGCACAAAGACAACGCCACTATCGGGGTATTTATAGCTCGGGCAGAACAACTACGCCACGGGACCTCCCTTGCCAGAATCAAAATATAAGAATTGGTTTGATCGAATCTGGCAATAAAACAGTTGTGTTAAGATGGTAAAGGTCCTATGATGAAGGTAAACATCAACAACCAGCATCACACACAGCACGTTTAAATACCAACATCACACGCTGCACGTTTAAATACCAACATCACACGCAGCACGTTTAAATACCAACATCACTCGCAGCACGTTTAAATACCAACATCACAGGCAGCACGTTTAAATACCAACATCACACGCAGCACGTTTAAATACCAACATCACACGCAGCACATTTAAATACCAACATCACTCGCAGCACGTTTAAATATCAACATCACTCGCAACACGTTTAAATACCAACATCACAGGCAGCACGTTTAAATACCAACATCACTCGCAGCACGTTTCACTCGCAGCTCGTTTAAATACCAACATCACTCGCAGCACGTTTAAATACCAACATCACTCGCAGCACGTTTAAATACCAACATCACTCGCAGCTCGTTTAAATACCAACATCACACGCAGCACGTTTAAATACCAACATCACTCGCAGCACGTTTAAATACCAACATCACTCGCAGCACGTTTAAATACCAACATCACTCGCAGCACGTTTAAATACCAACATCACTCACAGCACGTTTAAATACCAACATCACTCGCAGCTCGTTTAAATACCAACATCACTCGCAGCACGTTTAAATACCAACATCACACGCAGCTCGTTTAAATACCAACATCACTCGCAGCACGTTTAAATACCAACATCACACGCAGCACGTTTAAATACCAACATCACTCGCAGCACATTTAAATACCAACATCACACGCAGCACATTTAAATACCAACATCACTCGCAACACGTTTAAATACCAACATCACTCGCAGCACGTTTAAATACCAACATCACTCGCAGCACGTTTCACTCGCAGCACATTTAAATACCAACATCACTCGCAGCACGTTTAAATACATCTGTCGCTACTGTCATTCTCCAGTTTTGCAGGTAAAGTGTAACCACGCTTTCTTGTGAGCATAAATGCTCAATGGACCGAATGCATTTGGATACAAATTCACCGCATTCCTAAAAAAGAATAGCTATTTTGTTTTCAAAAATGCGTTAAGCAATTCACTGTGGCCATCCACGTGTCCCCTGCGAGCCTCCTGCTATTGGATAACTCTTTCAAGTGAACTCAGCCACCGATGTTTTATTAAGAAGCAGGAGAAATAACTCGGTTGATTCTAATCAGAATGCATTAAAAAGATACTGGGTAACTTTGCCATTCTCCATAATGGAAATATTCCGCAATGGCCACGACTGGCTTTGTGTGCTGGAACATACACATTGTTTGTACAGTAGACTCCTGATTATAACTGTTTCTGATCAGATGGAACCTGTCACGTGTATCTTATTTCTCAGTAGCGTTCTGATTAAAAACCCTCTGTCATTGGATGGAATCCATCACATGCAGTTAACTCTGAGTGAAGACTTATTCGCCGCATCCAAGATGCATTTTATTTGGCAACATATCGAGGACGTACACATTTTCAGCCTGTTCACTGAATAGGACGTTTCCACTGCCATTCACCAAATTACTTTTTCAAACAAATATTATGAACATCAATGACAGTTATGCAAATATGAGAGTGTGGACTGGAAACCCGTGACATTGACCACGAACAGCCCAGCCTTGCTAACATCACCCATGCACTAAGCGAAGGGATGGGCAAAATACATCCACCAGGGCAATTAATATACAAATTGCTGCAGTAAATGTAACTTCAAATCAAATGGGCAATTACTTTGAGGTGTGTCATTTCCATACCAATTGCAAATGTAATGAAATTACATCGTTTTATTACGTATGATTTTGATACCGTCCATCACTGATTAAACACTACATTATACACTACATACCCTGCATTATACGCCGTGGCTCTACGGTATACGTGTCATTTGGCACGTTTAATATAATTTAGAACTGCCCGTCTCTGGCTCGGCAGCGAGAATGATCGCAGAGTGCCAGGGTTTAGGAGGCCTGAGTTGGCGAGCGAGCGAGCGAGCGATCGGTGAGCCCTGCGTGTGGGGTTGTGCCGGCGCGTTTTGCCCCCAGAGCGGCGCACGGATAAACATCTCGGAGGGCTCGTGCCCCGAACGGATCGTCACCATCACCGGACAGACGGATGCCATCTTCAAAGCCTTCTCCATGATCACCAACAAGTTTGAGGAGGTGCGACGATGGGACACGCAGCTCGCAAGTGCCTTGGATATCCAAATTATTATGTAACCGATGACTCTGCTGATTATCGCTTCGATTACACAACAGTAATTGGGTAAACAAAAAAGTACCTGATTTTTTAAAAAAATATGGTTCCGCAAGATGGGAGGTGATAGGCGAGGATTCATGAAATCATCTGCATCATCAGTCTCGTCACGCTAAGCGTGGCTTGTAGGGGGTTTCCTGCCTTCAGGAGGAAGGATGTGGGGCAGCTGCCATATTTAAAGTCATTGACCACATAGAACAATGAATGACAATTGTTATCCAATGAATCGACATAATCAACTCATAGTCCCATCTCCACTGCTCGCATTAAGCCTGTGGTGGCAGTGTCTACACAGCGGGAAGGACAGGCAGGTACTGTCAGCCTGTATATGTGCAGCGCCCTTGTCAATTCACTGCTGGATGACGGCCTCCCTATGCCGTACGAGCCATGGCATATTTTGTTGAGCATACTTCACCACACATGTCAGTATGGGTTGGTGAAGGCGGGGAGTGGGCTACATTGTGGGCATTGCCAGCAAAATGCTGAGGTTTATTCTGCTGGCTGACATAACCATGACGATGAGTGATATGTTATTGCTCATTTTATCATCAATTTCACTGCCGTCAGAGGATTATGAACCATCCCTCAAAGGAGTGCCCGGGGGTTGGGTTTTGACTTGTTCAAGTCAAGTCAAAACACTTCTGAAAATTGAAGTAAAATTCTCACACGAGTCCTTACTTAAAAAGTATTGACACTCATCGAGGACGTCCTGGATGAATAAATCACTAAAATTAGTTACTTGACCGCTGGTGTTCTCTTGCTGATGCGCGCATTGTGGTGGTGCTCGTCTCCGTTGTGGCGGCCTGTGAATTCCACGCTCCGATGGCGGAGCACAGTCTCATCATACGAGGATCACAGTGGAATCCCTATACTGAATAACGGCGGCATGAGCTATTTTGGGGCTCTTAAGTCTTGTGGGCTTTCTATGTGGAAATTGTAAAATAAAAAAATATGTCCCTCGAAGATTTCATTAAAAAAAAACCCTCCACAATTGACGTCACCTGTAAAGCCCCTACACCCTGGTGACGAGGACGCACCCAGGACCAGCCCCCCCGTGGGCGAGCAGAGAAAACGCGACACTCAATGCCTGAGTCACAGAAATAGTGCTGGCTATATGTACGTATGGATGTTGAACTTCTTGCGTACCGTACATAGCCAGCCGCGCTGATCGGAGGTGCAGGGAGAAGGACGACAAACTAACGCAAAGAAACAGTTGTAAAGAAATTCGTTTGTTCATCTTGGCGATTTAAAAGTGCATCGCTCCAGTGGCTTCCTAATATCGGAAGGAAGAGCGTTCCAGACGGCCGCAGAAGCGCATCTTCTGCGCCGTGCGATGATGCAGTGGCCGGGGAGGGCCCTCGCGTACCCTCACGTACCCCACTTCCTCACCAGGACATCAACGCCTCGATGGCGAACAGCGCGGTGACAAGCAAGCCCCCCGTGACGCTCCGCCTCGTGGTGCCGGCCAGCCAGTGTGGCTCCCTCATTGGGAAGGGCGGCTCCAAGATCAAGGAGATCCGAGAGGTGACCCTGGGGAGGGGAGGGGAGGTGGAGACGCTGACCAGCGTGGGTAAAGTATGGTGATATTCCAACCGCGGCCTGCACGCCGTAGGAATTGATGAAGGCCGCAGCGGTGCGCGCCCGGTGACAGAATGAGGACTGCTCTAACTTCCTCTGCGAGACCCAACGCACGAGAAGCTTCATACCCTGCTCAATGGGAGGTTGCGCTCGTGACCTCCCACCCGAGCTCACCATCCTCCCCTTGTCCTCCGCTACCCCCTGCTCCTCCTGTGTAAGGTGCTTTCGGTGGCGCTTTGTTTTTACAAAATAAATATAAACAACCGCCCTGCGTTCCCTGTCGTGCACACGTCCCGGAGTGCTGTGAGCGTCTTCAGATGCAGTTGCATGTAAATGCTAAAGGCGCAGCCCTCCAATTGCTCGCTCACGTGACTGCTGCTCGAAAGGTCTCCACTAGAGAATCCCTAGAAGCGGGTATGTGGTCTACTCTTTCATGCTCACCACACTTGTTGGAAGAGGTGGGTGCACCCACATTTTACCCAGCTCCCCGTTTGCTAAATGTGGTGTACCCATTTCTACTGATGGGAGGAGAGATGTGGTAGGGTTCGTGAAAACTCATTATCCACAGCCCCATATCTTGCTATTATCGGAGATTTCACCCATAATGCATCGCGAAGCCGCTGCCTAATGTTCACCTTTTTGCAGATGAGGGGAGCCACATGCCAAACTCATGCTATTACTTGGGGGGTTATTCACAAGTTTTTACCCAGCGGATTAGAGGCTGTAAAATCGCCGATAACCCCTCGGATAATAGGATCTACAATATTGGTCCCCATATCATTGCGGAGAAGAGGAGTTCCCCTGTAGCTCATTCAGAAATTGTGTCCGCAGCACCAGCCCTGGTGCGCCTTCCAGTCTCTCGTCTTTCACCCATAAGTCTTTGTTTCCGAGAACGGGCGGGCCTCTTATGAGTTCATCCATCCGCCCATTCGTCCATGCCTCTGTCTTTGCCCGTACATCTGCCCATTCCTCTGTTCGTCCGTCCATTCGTCCTTGCTCCGCGCATCTTTCCATTCCTGTGCAATCTGTCTCCTCGAGTGAAAGCTTTGACATCAGTCTTACTCCAAAAGCGACGCTGCTATTAATGGCAACACCCTTCACCAAGTGTTAGCCTACTTTACGCAGTCGCATCATCGCTGAGCAAACCGCCAAGCAAACGGCCAGCGCGCGCTGCGATCGGACGAGTTATTAATGCAGGGTTTGGGGGGGCCGTGTGCGTGCCGTGGTCGGTGCGTGGGGGGGGGGGGGTGTGCAGTCGACAGGAGCGCAGGTGCAGGTGGCGGGCGACATGCTTCCCAACTCGACGGAGAGGGCGGTGACCGTGTCAGGCGCCCCTGAGGCCATCATCCAGTGCGTCAAGCAGATCTGCGTCATCATGTTGGAGGTGAACCCCGTAGCAGAGGAGGAGGAGGACGAGGAGGAGGAAACAAAGGGAGAGAGGGAGTGAGGGGATTCAAGAGAAGCGAGGGAGGCGGGAAGAGGAGCCTGTGTACTGTTGCCCTAATTGCTTCACCACCGGCTCGTGACTGCAGGGGACATCGTGGAGGGAGACGAGCGGGCAGGAGGACAGAGGGGCTGACGACAGACACGCCGACACACAGACACTGACAGGCGGAGTGACAGATACACTGATGAACAGACAGTTTGGTGGACAGGCAGACGGATTGACACGCACACACACAGTGACAACAAAATTACCCAATTCCAGGACTCTTTGTAAATGATTACATATTCATCATGCAGATACGTGCATGCAAACCGAAAGCAAGTAAGAGCAGCAGCAATAATAATAATATGCACGCAAAGGTGATCTACAAACAGCAGTCGGTGTAATTGTGACCAGAGGATCAGCCCTCCCATTGTGCAGTGCGAGTCACATGGCATTGCCATGTTGTGTGTGCACGTAGGAGAGAGTCAACATTCTGGCCATTGTATTTCAGATGAACACATTGTGGGCAGACTGACAAGCAGACAGCCGGGTAGAAAGACAGTCAGATATGGACACGAATGGACATACAATTCAAGTTTTGCACAAACGCAACATCTGCAAAGTGAGAGTTCTGAAAATACAAAATTACATCAGAGAACAACCCATCAGAAGGAAACAAAGTTGAGACAAAGGAGATGTCCTGTCACACTGCCTCACGCCTTTCATTGCTTCACTGTTAATCAGAGCCCGGCATTGGCACTGTTACCAAATTTGTGTGGCACCATTGATGATTCAATTCACAGCAGTACGGGACTGCTGTGAACTAATCCAGGATTTTTGTTGTTTTGTTTTTGTCGTCCGAACACTTCACAGATGTATGAGTCACTTGCAATAAATAGCTAGTCGGGTTGGAGCCGCGCTTCTTTGTGAGCAAGTGAATGGCGTCACGAGGTGGGAGAAGTGATTAGCAAGATGGAAGGGCCTCTCTCCTGAAGAGGCTGACGGGCTTAATGGTGCAGCCTCTAAGAAGAGAAACAATACAACAGAGAAAGGGCCGCTTCGGGAATCCACCGCGGACCACCTAATGGCTCCTCCGTCGTGTATTTGAGAACGTAGCGACAGCTCGCCAGCGTAAACACACTTTGTCAGTGCTATTTAAGTTAACCGAACGTTTCGCTGGAATGAGCGTTAATGGAATGAAGATTCGCTGTGGATCGAATCATTAAGATCGATTCTTTCGCCCGTACACGTGTGTCGAAGCACAGTGCGCAGGGGTAGATTATTTGTAAGGCATATTCTAACGGGACTCACAACACAAAGCAGACAAGGCGACACAGATAAACAATTACGAGACGGGCAATACAAATGAAACACTGCAATTAAGACACATTTTTATTTATTTATGGAATTGGGACCCAAACTGAATTGTCACGATTGATTGTATAGCCAGGGTCATTAATCGTTGGAGGCCTAAAAACGACAAGTTAACAATACTGATAATATAGAAAAATATTGAAATGCCACATATTCATCGGATTATTTTCTCTGTTTTCACTCAAAGTCTCTTGTAAAAGAGACGTTTTTTTCTTACGGGGCTCTCAGACGGTTAACACAATCATCTATCTATTCAAGAAAGGCTCAGCTGACTCGTGATATGGTATTTAAATTTTTGGTGTTTTGGTGGAGTAAAGGTACAAAGATGGCTGGGCAGGTGTGGTATTGGGCACATCACCCCCTCGTGTGCAATTATGGCCCTTAACAGCTGCTCTCTAACAATACTTGCCCCCTATAGACTACTACATTACGCTGAGAGTGCCTCATTTTGTCAGATCTGGAAGGGTATGCAGAAATTGGCCTTGCTAGTAGTTGAACGGATGATCACCGTGCCTGGCTGGATGTTGTGGGTGTTGGGCTGCAAAGTGTGGCTAGGAGATGGCTGTGCTGAGCATCACCCGCTCATGGAGTGTCTCGCAGTTCTCCGGGTTCCTCCCACGCGAATCCCAAACGTGCCCTTCATCGAATCGGCCAAACATACCCATGCAGGACCCTCCCGATAACGTTTTGGGAGTCATTGATGCTTTTTTTTTTTCCTGGAAGAATCATCTGCATTCGTACAGACAAAACAGTCGGCAGCATTTCCACAATGAACAGGGGCATCTCTGCGTCTGCTTGTGGCTGGGGATGAATTCCCGTGGTGTGTGTGTTTTTTGTTTTTGTTTCCTCCGGTTCGATCGCTGGCGCCAACCCCAACGACTCACTGTGTCAGTCCCCTCCAAAGGGAGCCACCATCCCCTACCGACCCAAGCCTCCTGCTGCACCCGTGATCTTTGCCGGAGGGCAGGTAGGTTTCCCTCGCTCGCCGGAACGCACGACGCAACTCACGACGCAACCAATTAAAACCACGGTGATGGGCCTGACCGCTGTAGCCGGCCAGGTGGCCCAGTGCAAGAGTGAGCGGGTCGCGATGAGAAGGTCGTGAGTTCAAATCTTCGTTGGGGGGGGTGGGGGGGGTGGGTTGACTCCATCCTCCCGATATAATGGGTGCCACTGTGTGGGGAAGTCAACGGCGGTTGTCTTACGGAGAGAATCACCCATGCCATAGGAATGTGGAATTTCCGACACTGGATCAGGGCTGTAAACAGGAGATGAGCACCACCTGAGTGTCCTCGACTCGACTGAATCATCGTAGCGATAATGACTCGGTGTCCCACGTGTTGCTCCACCCACTGGCAGCTTCCTCCGGAGCTGAAGAAGCTCCCCGTTCAATATCTATTGATCTTCTAAAAACCTGGGGCAATAAAAAACTATTAAAATGTGCACAGATATAGTCGAGTCCATGATTACAGCTACAAAAATACAAACGTAATTTTTTATCATATGGGCTTCTAAAACATTGCCAGGGGATTGAATTGTTTCACTCGTGGGACCGAGTCATCCTGAAGTTCTAAGGTGCGTTAAGTCTCATGCCAAACACTTACAAATGTACGATCCCCGTCATCCGAGAGCCAAATAATTCAAAAAGTAGGGAGAGTCCACTGCCAGTTACGATCACATCATCGTCAGCCGTTGTCCGTTCACTGCCGGATGAAGGCCTCGCCATGCCGTTGCCATCTCTGACGATCCCGCGATGTAACAAACATCACCAGGCTCATTTCATCGCTCCGTCTTCGCGGAGGACTCATGCTCAGGTGCATTCCCTCCTTTGGCTGCGACTCCTCCTTTAGTCATCGTCGAACCACCGCCGAGTAAGCCACAAGCGGCGCCGAGCTATGTTTGAGATCTCCTTTGGTTCTTTCGGTACAGTCACGTAGAATGAGAATAAAATAATAAAATAACACAATAAAATTCTCACGACGTTTCGGCCACAACACAAGCAGCCTTCTTCAGGTGAAAGAACAGAACTGTCGGGACGACAGAGCTTCAATTAACGCTGCTAAGATTCGCAGCGTCTCTTTAAGCTCGGTGAGAGGCGCGGCGAGCCTTGGCAAGCTAATCCCTCTACTATTTCAATGCTAAATTCTCCTGCTCTGATATGTAAACTCCTTTGTCAAGGCTCGCCGCGCCTCTCACCGAGCTTAAAGAGACGCTGCGAATCTTAGCAGCGTTAATTGAAGCTCTGTCGTCCCGACAGTTCTGTTCTTTCACCTGAAGAAGGCTGCTTGTGTTGTGGCCGAAACGTCGTGAGAATTTTATTGTGTTAGTTTATTTTATAATTTTATAATTTTATTCTCATTCTACGTGACTTTACCGAAAGAACCAAAGAAGATGAATCCTTGCAGTCACAAAAGCTTTAAATCGAAGAATATGTTTGAGATGTTTAACGGTGTCGCTGTGCCCTCCCTGTCCCCGTCCCGGTTGTAGGCTTACGCTCTGCAGGGGCAGTACGCCGTCCCTCACCCGGAGGTGAGACTTCAGTGGGCGCCACTGACAGCCACATCTCACCGTAGCACTTGTCAAGCTTCACTGGCGACACACACAGCTCAAGTGACTGCTCAGTGTTTGTCCACTGCTGGATGAGGGTCACCTCCCCATACTGTGCGGGTTGTGGTGGTCAGTGTGGGTAGGTTATGGCAGGGAACATATGTGGGAATTCTGCCCACAAAGGAACACCGTGGCAGCCTATAACACCTGTTTTATACTTGGCGGTCACCCATCCAGGCACGATCCAGGCTCAGTTTTGCTTAGGTTCCTCGATCAGATTAAAGCGGATGCATTCTGGGTGACTTGGTCGTAGGGTCAAGTGACTCCTTTAAAATTTGATAAAGAAATATGTCATCCAAACAGAAATAGTTATTTTATGTGTACGTAGACTGTGTATTCTGGACTCTATGACAACCTGGAAGCTTTGTTCATGAGAAAAAATACCTTAAAGTGTGAGAGTTCTATATTGGCACACTTAGCACCCGAGAGATGTCACTGCATTGACGTTGACGGTGGAGTAGCAGTGATGTAACAACAATGCTATTATGACAAGGTTGGTGTTTTTTCTTTATTTTCTCCCACGGGAATATACTGTTATATTTATGCAGATTATATATATCCTGTTCTTAGTCCATACATTAGATACAAATAAAAAAACATTAAATGAGAGCTCTTGACCTTTAGTTGTAATGTGCAAAATTTCGAACCGTGAGCACATGCATTTTTTTCTGAAATCACAAATGTTTGTGCTGCTCTTGTTTGCACGAGTTTCATCCGGGCACTCTGATTTCCTTCCACATGGAAACAAAGTCAGAGAGGAAGCACTAGGGTCACATCCTCGGCATCATTAAGGCTTGACCTTTGACAATCGGTGAGGCTTTTCTGGATAAGGATTCTAAAAACTACACTCAACTTTCGATAATATAATCTGGGGTAATGTAGGGGGCCGGGGTGGGGAGGAAGACCCAGTTTCGAACTAAAACAAGGACGATACGAAATAAATGTGAATTAGGATGAGAAGCTGAGATGTTGTTTAGCTACATAGAAAGGGGCTGACGACATAAGGAGGTCATTATTATCATACGCCGCAGTAATGCAGAAAGCGAGCTACATTTGAGTGAAACACTGAAGGTAAACACAAAAGCGCCAGGGTGGCTAGGAGATGTTAACTACCTCGCGTGGTACACAGGAGGTCGTGGGTTCGATCCCGACCTTGACGCCTGCTGTTTATTTGGAGTTTGCATGTCTCTCTCCACGTGGTTGCGTGGATTTTTCTCCGAGTCCTCCGGTTTTTCCCTCCACAATTAGAATCAACATCCCGCGTTTAGTATATTTGGCTGCTATAATTTCCACATGACAGGCCACTACATTGAGCTTTCATTCGTGGCCAGGTCGCGTCTGACAAAGAGCTATTCAGCTCGGTAAGGCCTTACCTGGTAAAATAAAAATAGTTTATCGTTTAAAAAATATTTTGAAAGCACACGAGATGTGCTGCAAAGACTCGATGACCATGCTTGTGGTCACGTGGATACTGAGTCATACACCGAGTCACTGACCGCTGATGAATGAAGCGCACCTAAGAGTTCAACCTTGACAGATGTGGATACTTGATAAACAAATGGAAACATTTTTTTTAAATCTCCGGCATTGTGCCGAGACCGTGGTGACCCAGAATAAACTGTGGGACGTAGAACTACTCAATGCCCCATTCACAAATATGACGCAGGAGACACCACGCCAGTGAATCACTTTGACACGTGCTAGGCTTTCTCGACCAATGCTATTCATAATAAAGTTTGTTTGGGTTAGGTTGCGTATGTATAGACGTGGCATTAACCCGCCACCACTCGACACAGCCAACCAGTAAAGGGTTGTCACGTAAACAACACGTGACAAGTAGTTACTGCTTCTGCCCACCCGTGTTTTGGAGAGGAAATCAACAACATTTACAACTTGAGTATGACGCTTCGCTGGTAATTATATCCAGCATCATCGGGCGATTCTGGCACGTGTTGGTTACGTGACAAACCTTACTGGTTGGCTGTGTCGGGTGGTGGCCGGTTAACGACACATTTATATATTTACGCGATCTAACCCAAAAAACCTTTAATACAGTGAATCACCCACCCCGCTACTCCTAACGCAATTCCCTGCCTCAACCAGTCCAACGTAAAATTATAGTTGTTGCTCAACAACAGCATCAGCCGTATATGGAGAAGACGTTAAACCGGCGCACATGGATATTTTACTTACATAGAGTGATATAGTGCCTTACTCCAAGGCTCCTTACAGCAATGATTAAATTGTACGTAAGATGATAGAGGTTGAGATAAAGAGTGGAGTTCTTTAGAGTGATGGTGTAGTTATTGTGACAGTTATCGCAACAGGTGGGGGTGGTTAAGGAGGGGTTGGGGTAGTGATAGGGGTTGGGGTAGTGATAGGGGTAGTAATAGGGGTTGGGGTAGTGATAGGGGTTGGGGTAGTGATAGGGGTTGGGGTAGTGATAGGGGTAGTGATAGGGGTTGGGGTAGTGATAGGGGTTGGGGTAGTAATAGGGGTTGGGGTAGTGATAGGGGTAGTGATAGGGGTTGGGGTAGTGATAGGGGTTGGGTAGTGATAGGGGTTGGGGTAGTGATAGGGGTTGGGGTAGTGATAGGGGTTGGGGTAGTGATAGGATTGGGGTAGTGATAGGGGTTGGGGTAGTGATAGGGGTTGGGGTAGTGATAGGGGTTGGGGTAGTGATAGGGGTTGGGGTAGTGATAGGATTGGGGTAGTGATAGGGGTTGGGGTAGTGATAGGGGTTGGGGTAGTGATAGGGGTTGGGGTAGTGATAGGATTGGGGTAGTGATAGGATTGGGGTAGTGATAGGGGTTGGGGTAGTGATCGGGGTTGGGGTAGTGATAGGGGTTGGGGTAGTGTCAGGGGTTGGGATAGTGATAGGGGTTGGGGTAGTGATAGGGGTTGGGGTAGTGATAGGGGTTGGGGTAGTGATAGGATTGGGGTAGTGATAGGGGTTAGGGTAGTGATAGGGGTTGGGGTAGTGACAGGGGTTTGGGTAGTGATAGGGGTTGGGGTAGTGATAGGGGTTGGGGTAGTGACAGGGGTTGGGGTAGTGATAGGGGTTGGGGTAGTGATAGGATTGGGGTAGTGATAGGGGTTGGGGTAGTGATAGGGGTAGTGATAGGGGTTGGGGTAGTGATAGGGGCTGGGGTAGTGATAGGGGTTGGGGTAGTGATAGGGGTGGGGGTAGTGATAGGGGTTGGGGTAGTGATAGGGGTTGGGGTAGTGATAGGGGTTAGGGTAGTGATAGGGGTTGGGGTAGTGATAGGGGTTGGGGTAGTGATAGGGGTTGGGGTAGTGATAGGGGTTGGGGTAGTGATAGGATTGGGGTAGTGATAGGGGTTGGGGTAGTGATAGGGGTTGGGGTAGTGATAGGATTTGGGTAGTGATAGGGGTTGGGGTAGTGATAGGGGTTGGGGTAATGATAGGGGTTGGGGTAGTGTCAGGGGTTGGGATAGTGATAGGGGTTGGGGTAGTGATAGGGGTTGGGGTAGTGATAGGGGTTGGGGTAGTGATAGGATTGGGGTAGTGATAGGGGTTGGGGTAGTGACAGGGGTTGGGGTAGTGATATGGGAAGTTTTAAGGGTTAGGGTAGGGGGTAGTTATAGGGTTGGGGTAGTGATAGGATTGGGGTAGTGATAGGGTTTGGGGTAATGATAGGGGTAGTGATAGGGGTTGGGGTAGTGATATGGGAAGTGATAAGGGTTAGGGTAGTGATAGGGGTTGGGGTAGTGATATGGGAAGTGATAACGGTTAGGGTAGTGATAGGGGTAGTTATAGGGGTTCGGGTAGGGGTAGTTATAGAGGTAGTGACAGGGGTAGGGGCGGGCCTGGTCGTAGCTGGGCGGTGTGGCCAGGGAGTAGCTGCCACAGGACGGGCTAGGCCAGGGCCCTTTCAGGACTGCTGCTTTGTGATGTAATCTATTCAGGCACCACCGTCTCTCGTATTCACCACTGTGCATTGCTGCGCTTGAAATATTGAGGGTTTTTTTCCCACGGAATTCTAAACAAATGGCTATTATTGTTACTTTGGTTGCCTACCCCTGGGCTAGGGAGAAGCGATGGGTTGGTTTAAGAGATGATGGGTTGGTTTAAGAGAGGAACGGCAGCAGGTGAGTGAAGATGATTTTGTTTTCATGTGCAGCGGGAGTTTGTTCCAGTGGATGGGGGGGGGGCAAGAAGGGAAATGGAACGTGACTTGAGCGCGAGGCGAGGGGGCCACATTGCTTCGTCTTTTTTATTTTCTCAAAAGCGGTTAACCCAGCAAATGCATCATTCGTCGGGCCTACGGACCGTGGAGAGTGAACTGCTAAAACAAAGTCTTGCAAGGTAGTCCGTCGCCGCAGGGGACTCGCTGCTCAGCGGCGCCTTTCCAAATCTCGCCAACCTCGCACGAAGCGTGTCTCCACAGGAACTTGAGCGAACTTCGGCGAATCGAAACTGTTCCATCAAAATGTAATGCCGCTCACGATAAAGCGCTCACGACCAAACGCTCGGGGCTTACCAAATGACATTTATTCGGCTCGCTGAACTAATGTGGCTTTCAGCGTGTGCAGGCTTAATCAGAATATTAGGGGTAGGGGTGGTTAAACAAGGCATGCTGAGCAATTACACATCATGTGTGCATTGTTCAAATGTGTTTGTGCGCGTGGGCAGCGGTCGTGTAGTGTTCAGCGCGCTGCACTATAAACCCGGCAACCACAGTTCGATTCCCGCTCACGGCCAACACCAGTGACGGTTATCTAAACCGGTTCTGGGCCTCCCCTAGATAGACTCAGCCTCAAATGAGTACCTGGTTCGGCGTGGTGCTGACCACTCACCCACCCCCTTGCGTGCCGTGCCGGCCTTCATAGGTGATCGCTAACAGCACTTGCCCCAACGGTCTCTTAAGGCTATATGGGGAGTCTTTTTCTTTGTAGATATACCGCATGCGTAGACTCTGCACAGTGAATAGCAGGTCGAATAATAACAAAGTAGGAATTGTGTTTTCCCTTTGGACAATTCATTTTCCGTCAGTAAAATACATTTACATTTGTTGATCTGTTGACGTAGCCAAGTTGTTACGTTAGATGACTGAATGTGAACACCGTCACCGTTACACACTGCAGCATGCACACACTGCAGTTAAATAATACCGATGCCAATTGTTTATCCAGGAGAGGCAGCCACACTTATTCCCCCAACAACTCTTCATTCATGAGTGGCTTCATGTGGTAGAGAATCAAGAGCACCCCTAGGAAAGTCCACTACGCACGAGGTGTAACATTAGCGCCAGAAACTGACTCTACACATGCAACCGACACTTGAAAAGATCTTCGCTTCCCTAAGAGTATATGGGATATCTATGGAACATTTTTAGCCGTATTAAAATTACGAGAAAATAATAGGTTTTACCCTTTCTGGCAATGAAACAGGTGGTGTTAAGATGTTCTTACACCAAACAGATACCGCCTATTGCAAGGAGTCGAGTCTGCATGTACTTGTGGCAAAAACATGCCAACAAATATCCTCTGTTAATATATGCATTGTCTGATTGTCCTACACCAGAGGCAGACTTCTCTATGGCTTGGTCTCGCCGGTGTTGGACCAGAGAACGCCAAAAGGCGACACAGCATGTTTGTTTGCATGTTTTGCCACAAGTACGTGTGGTTGATGCAGGCTTGAGGCCTTGCAACAGGAGGTGTCTGTTGCGTGTTTGAACATCTCAACACCTCCTGTTTTATTGCCAGAAATAGTATAGCCGATTCTCGGTCGTGCAGATTCTTCTCCGGGTCCTCCGGGTTTCCCCTCCACGTGTAGAAACGTGTTTAGAGTATTTGGCCCCTATAAATTTGCGCACGACAAGCCACTTTGTTGAGCTATCATTTGTGATAGCCAGGTCGCTTCTAAGAAATAAAAACGAGCTATATAGCTCAGTGTGGCCTTACCTGCTAAAAAAAAAATATATAGTAGTGGTTTATTTTCTCAGTATACGAGATGCCGCGTCGAAGCCACACGAGGCTAAGAGCGGCCACCGCCCTCCCCTTGCAGCGGTCGCCCTAACGCGAGCGTTGCTCTTCCCCGTGCCCTCTGACCCCGCAGCAAGTGTGGATGCCACTGCCGAGACAAGTGCTCATGAACTCCGCTTTTCCCATGATGTGAGTTCCTGCGGCACCCTTGACGCCTCCTTCGTCTCCCGCGTGCCACCCCTGCCAGGCCACGAGGCATTGCCAGTGTCCTGGTTTCCCAACGCGTGAACACGTTGAATAATTGTCTTGTCTCCGTGTGTGCACGCTTGTGTGGGTGTGTGCATCGGTGTATTTGTGTTGCTGTACTTTGCATTGTGCGGTGTAGTTGTTTGGTCAGCATGGAATGACGCACCCCCCCCCCCCCCCACCAGTGATTTGACGAATTGTCACAATTCATGCCCATTATTCCATGATGTTTCTCTGATGTTTGCCAACTATTTGTATTGTTCATCGTTTGTTCTGTCTCATTTGCACACTTGTTATTGCCCCCATTGGCCTAAGTGACAGATTATTTGCAGTAATTGTAAATAACTGATTGTTACAGGTAAATTCGATGCAAGTGTATGTAAGTTCAAGAACCGATTTTAATCGAGTTAATTGATCCGTCCGTAACATGCAGAGCACTTAGCCCGGCGACATCAGCCCCACTTGGTGGCAAACAGAGGCGGCTCATTCATCGTTTACAAAACGGTGCCGTCAATTTGCGACAGCCTCTTTTACCGAGACTACGGGTCATCTGAGGTCCTGCCTCTTAGGGAATTCAAATTCGGAGCACATGCAAGTTAATTTCGCTTTTCAGAAATTGTGCGCAGCATCTACCGAGGGGAGCATTCTGTGAGCGGTGTGTGTGGGTGCTGAGCGGTGTGTGTGCTGAGCGGTGTGTGTGTGCTGAGCGGTGTGTGTGTGAGCTGAGCGGTGTGTATGTGTGCTAAGCGGTGTGTGTGTGCTGAGCGGTGTGTGTGCTGAGCGGTGTGTGCTGAGCGGTGTGTGTGTGTGCCGAGCGGTGTGTGTGCTGAGCGGCGTGTGTGTGTGCTGAGCGGTGTGTGTGTGTGCTGAGCGGTGTGTGTGCTGAGCGGTGTGTGTGCTGAGCGGTGTGTGTGCTGAGTGGTGTGTGTGTGTGCTGAGCGGTGTGTGTGTGTGTGCTGAGCGGTGTGTGTGTGCTAAGCGGTGTGTGTGTGTGCTGAGCGGTGTGTGTGTGTGCTGAGCCGTGTGTGTGTGTGTGCTGAGCGGTGTGTGTGTGTGCAAAACAACCCCCTACCTCCTCGCGGTGCCGGACGGGCAACTCTGTCGTGAACACTGCTGTGGGGGGAGGTCCAATTCCGATTGGCTCCTCCCTTCATGGCGTCTGTGTCCACCACATTGGCTAAACGGGGGCTCTGGACGGGTGCGAGGGGCTGGTAAACCCTCCACCTTCAATTAATCACCACTAAACTACGAATACAAAATTTTACTAATAAGCTTGTGCCGGAGGCCACGGGGGGACAGGCGTCTATGACGTCTCCTGGCCAAACCCCAATTGGCGGAGCCAGGAGATTGAATCTCCACCCTCGGGGCTCCTCCAGAAACAATGAAAAGCCACTACGGATGGCCACGTGGAATGTTCGAACGCTCACTGCGGATGAGAGGCTGCCACTCCTCTGTCGGGAGCTGGACCGGTACCGCCTGGATCTCTGTGGCATTCAGGAGGTCCAGTGGACCGGTTTTGGCTCCTGCCACCATGAGAGGTGGACAGTCCTCTACTCGGGGCAGCAGACTGCCAAACAACAGGGTGTGGCTCTTCTTTTGAACAAAAGAATGAAGGGGGCATGGGAGCTTGCCGGTGAGGTGTGGGAAGCTGTAAGCCCCAGGCTACTTTGAGCTCGCCTTCCCATCAACCGGAGGCGAGGAGTGGTGGTCGTGGTTACTTATGCCCCCACCGAAGACGAACATCCGTGGAGGGATGCAGGCAAAGCCGATGAGTCAGATGCCTTCTATGACCTCCTGTCACAGATGCTGGCTAAAGTGGCCCCTCGGGATAGAGTCATCTTGTTGGGTGACTTCAATGCCAGAGTTGGTCATGATGCTGGCACCTGGTCTGGAGTGATTGGAGGGCATGGGCCAGATCAGCTCAATAACAACGGTAGGAGGCTGCTAGATTTTTGTGCAGCCCATGAGCTTGTAATTACCAACACGCTGTTCCGTCATCGGCGCATCCACACAACATCATGGATGCATGCCGGGTCCAAGCAAGAACATCTGCTGGACTACATAGTGACGGACCAGCGGATGCGAGCCCATGTCCTTGACACCAGGACCTACCGTGGAGCTGATCTGCCCTCTGACCATCGACTAGTCATCTGTAAGATGCGCCTGCCATTATTCCACTCCAGTGGTGGGTGTACACCCAGGACCCCATTCCAACCTAAAGTGGCCTGGTCTCATTTATCTGATGAAAGTTGCAAGTGAGAATTTCATCATCGCTTGCGGCTGGGGTTGGCATCGTCCCCCACTCCTCCTGATGTCGAGGGTAAATGGGCGAGGTTTAGGACTGTGACTCATGCAGCTGCAATGGCTGCTTTGGGTACGCGGTCCAGACCTCCCCAGAGACCCTGGCTGACAGAGGAGGTGTTCAGGATGGTTGAGAAAAAGCGACAGGCCCACTGTCATCGGCTACAGAATCCCACGTCAGAGAATGAGGAGGCTTACCGCTGCCTTCGCTCGGAGGTTCGGAGAGCCGTGAGGCGCTGCAAGGATGGGTGGTGGTCGTGGGTTGCTGAGGAGATGGAGTTTGCCTCAGTGGCCCGTGATCACAAATCTCTATTTAACTCCATCAAAAAAGTAACCTGCAGCGCCACACCTGTTACCATCATTAGGGGAAAAACGGTGATCCAATCTCCGACCCCCAGGAACAGGTTTGCAGATTTGCTGAGCATTTCTGTGAGGTCCTGGGGGAGGGGAAATCCCTCAGCCAGGAAAACATCGTGGCATAAAGTGGGGATGACCCTGCTGAGGCTGCGGTGCCTCAAATATTGGAAGAAGTCACCCCCTGTGAGTGGCTGGCTGAGGTGCCATCTGTTGAGGAAGTACTGAAGGCGATCCGGAGTCTGAGACCAGGATAGGCACCAGGTAGAGACGATCTCCCAAGCGAAATGCTGAGATAGGGTGGCGTTTGTGCACAGACTGCCCTTTATGACATCATAACAACAATCTGGACCACTGGACGGGTTCCGCAGGATTGGAAGGATGCCCTGGTGGTCCCCCTCTTTAAGAAGGGGGACTGCACAGACTGTAACAACTACAGGGGCACCTCACTCCTCAGTGTACCGGGAAAGGTCCTGGCAAGGATTATTCAACATCGCCTTGCCAGGCATGCTGAGGAGAGGCTTGTGGAGCCCCAATGCGGTTTCAGGAAAGGGCAGTCCTGCACAGATGCCATATTTTCTGTCCGTCTGCTACAGCAGAGGTGTAGGGAATTCCAACAAGACCTACATCTCTGCTTTATTGACCTGGTCAAGGCCTATGATACCATCAGTAGGCCTGGGCTCTGGGTTGTTCTTTGTGCTTTTGGAGTCCCTGACCCTCTGCTCACGATCATTAAGGACCTACATGATGGTGAGCGGGCCCGGGTAAAACTACGTGGCCGGGAGTCAGAGCCATTCCCTGTACACCTTGGGGTGCGACAGGGATGTCTTCTGGCTCCCACATTATTTAACATCTATTTTGACCACGTAGTTCGGGAAGCTTTCAATAGCTGTACCGGGGGAATCTCCATATGGTACAGATATAATGGGAGGCTGATCGATGCCCGGGTGCGGTCAAGGGATGGCTCCCTATTGCTCAACCACGTTATGTATGCCGATGATTTGGTAATAGCTACTCATTTAGAGGAGGAGTTGGAGACGCTGCTGCTGAGATCTGGGCAAGGTCCCATCGGTGAGCTCCTCCGGCAGGCAAGGCTGCGTTGGCTGGGTCATGTAGCCCGCATGCCCAGCCATCGCATGCCGAAACAGCTTTAGTTCGGCCGGATCAAGGGGGCTAAGCAGGCGCGGCACGGGCTAGAGAAGAGATGGAGTGATGTGGTACAGGAGGACGTGGAGCTGAGTGGACTTGCCGATGACTGGTACCAGTGGTGTCAAGATCGGCCTCTGTGGAGGAGGCTCGTGAAGGACGCTACTGGGCAGTTGGAGGCAGTCGCCCTCCAACAACAACGGAGGGCGGAGGATCGACGCTCACAACAATGAGTGGAGCGCCGGGTGACTAGGGCACAGCAGGTTGGCACAGCAGGGGGCACAGGTGGTGCATCAGCCAGTCATCTCAGTCATCTCAGTCAGTCGACCCATGGCACCTGGGTCTGCCCCGTGACCTCCTGCCAGCGGGCGTTCGACACTTCACGTAGCCTCAAGGTGCACATAGCCTGGCACAAGCGTCGTGGTGACGTCACCGCCACTTAGTGGCGAATGGCAGTTGTTGTTGTGTGTGCTGAGCGGTGTGTGTGCTGAGCGGTGTGTGTGTGTGCTGAGCGGTGTGTGTGCTGAGTGGTGTGTGTGTGCTGAGCGGTGTGTGTGTGTGCTGAGCGGTGTGTGTGTGTGCTGAGCGGTGTGTGTGCTGAGCGGTGTGTGTGTGTGCTGAGCGGTGTGTGTGCTGAGCGGTGTGTGTGTGCTGAGCGGTGTGTGTGTGTGCTGAGCGGTGTGTGTGCTGAGCGGTGTGTGTGTGTGCTGAGCGGTGTGTGTGCTGAGCGGTGTGTGTGTGTGCTGAGCGGTGTGTGTGCTAAGCGGTGTGTGTGCTGAGCGGTGTGTGTGTGTGTGCTGAGCGGTGTGTGTGTGTGCTGAGCGGTGTGTGTGCTGAGCGGTGTGCGTGTGCTGAGTGGTGTGTGTGTGCTAAGCGGTGTGTGTGTGTTCTGAGCGGTGTGTGTGCTGAGCGGTGTGTGTGTGCTGAGCGGTGTGTGTGTGTGCTGAGTGGTGTGTGTGTGTGCTGAGCGGTGTGTGTGTGTGCTGAGCGGTGTGTGTGCTGAGCGCACGCCAGTGCCCTAGAGCCGACCAGTTCGCAGCGAACAGCTTCACAAAACACTTGGATAGGGTTCAAGCTCTTAGCAATCATCAGCAAGCCGCAGCACGTCCAATCGCCAGATACTTTCGGCTCAATGCAACACTGGCACTGAGGGAACCTGTCTTTAAATACAAATACGTTACAGCGTTGGAGGGCCTAAAATTAACACATTTGTTCCCTGATGTATGAATAATTAATAGATGCTTCTAGCTGACCTTCCAGTATTCTTTCTTCTGGTAATTTGGCTAAAATGTGAGATCGAGAGGCAGAGCGTGAGCAAAGAGCCCACGAAATGTCCTCTGTGGTGCACAGGCCTTTGTTGTGTGGTGTTTAGCCGCGAGCGATCATCTCTTTGCTTTCCGCCACGTTGGCCGCACATCGGGAGTGATTACATTTGTCGTGCGCGCCTGCCATCCCTTCTGGGCCGATCTACAGCGCTACTCGTTCGCCCTCTCTCTCTCTCTCGCTGTCCTGCTCGCTCACTCACTCTCTCTCTCTCAATCTCCCTGTCTCTCGCTCACCCACTCGATCTCAGCCTCTCTTGTATTCATTCTCTTGCTCTGTTGCTCTGTCGTTCTCCATATCTCTTGCTGTGTTGCTCGCTAATACTGTCAGTCATCCGCTCTGTCTCTCGCTCACCCACCGCTCTTCATGTCTTGCTTGCTCTTGGAGCCTCTTCCATCCACTTTTCACTCAATCACTCTTTCATTCACCGCTCTCTCATCCACCACTCGCCCAGCCTCCATGACGTGCACACACTCTCCATCCTCCACTTACTCTCTCCATCTCTCTTTGTCGTCCACTCTTTTTCACCCTCAATTGTTTAACCCCTCAACCATTAAGCGGGCACTCACTTAGCCACACAAGGACAGCTGCTATAAAGCAAACAGGACAAATATCAGCATGAGCCGTGATTTATCCAGGTCAGGTGGTTGATGGTTGTCGCAGTGCGACTGTGGCCATGCAACCCAAACCATGGACCGCGGAACAAACCACCGCAGTCTGCCCTCTTCTAAGGAAGGAAGGGAAACAGCAAAACACGTGAAGTCTCTCTCCTGAAGTCTTCTCGTAACTAGCAGACAGTGGCATTTAGCCCCAGATCATGTGAGGTTATCAGACACAAGAATAGCGTAGAATGAAATATAAATAACTATTGCACGAAGCTATCGTGCAACAGATACGAGTCTGTATGAAGGCATGAGTATGAAGTAGACATTTTAGAAATTATGACCCATTAGTGCCTGTTGGGATATCTAGAATAATAATTCAGATTTTGCTTGTTTGGTTTCGTGTGTAAGACTAGCATTTGTTTTGAAACGTTACTGTAGATTTATAAATGATCTATTTGTGGCGATGATGATTATGACGACAAAAATCAATGAGCAATACATTATTAGATGGACGGTTACCAAATATATTTTGAGAAAATTACTAAATTGTTAAATAAATGCAACGCTGCGCGTTCACCCAGAGCGACGGTGTGAGAAAGTTTGTGTGTGCGGCTGGGCAGTGACGGAGTTTCGTGTTCATGATTGTCTCTCACCCCGCATCACATTGTGTTAACATCTCAGTCCGAACCCCGTGCCCCATTTTCCCCATCTTGTTATTTGTGCTGCTCTCTGCTCAGTCGGTGAGATGCTTTGTGGCGTGTCTGTGCGCACATTGATTTCGGTTGACAAGAACGTTTTTAACTTTGATTTCAATGAACCTTCTTCCGCCGCCGCCGCTTACACACAGCTTTATTTGCTGCCATCCCAGGTCTCCCTTGCAAAGAAAGGACGACGTTATCTCAATGATCTCTTACCTAGCTTAGTTCACGTAACGTGCACAGAACAACAGAACACCCACTAGACTTTGCGACGCTGTCTTGTGTGCAGCGGCTCTGGAGCACGCTCTTGAGCTCAGGCAGGTGCCCATCTATAATAATTTTTTGAACCGAGGCACTCCCCTTTCCCTACAAAATCTTCCCCTTTTTGAAATGATTCTCTGACAGTGCACTGACTGATCACGTATTAAATAGTCCCAGCGCCGAGTTATGATCATTCACAGCCTATTAGCAATCAGCAGACAGCCTATAGACTACAGGGGCATGCCATGCCCTAGGTATATAACGATTAACTTCCCGCCTCTGGCTACAGATCGATGTATTGTCACTAATCAGAGTTGCGATGCGATTATAGAATTTAGTTTTCTAAATTACATTTAATTCATTTTTTAAACATTTTGGTGCCTTCAGGGTTCGTGTGATCTAGTTATAAAATATCACATCGACGAATTAATTGTACAGCCCTTTGTCAATCCACTGCTGGATTAAGGCCTCCCCAGGATGTCTCAGCTACGGGAGTTGTTTGTCGAATACTTCACCGCGCTGATCAGTGCAAGTCGGTAAAGGCGGTTTCCAGGAACTGGTTCAGGGTTTACTTCGCCGTTGACGTTTGCCGTGGCTGGAAATGTACCCCGAGTCGCCGGGGTTCATAGTCCAGGGCGCCCAACGCTGCGCTGCCACTCCACGCTACACAAGTAAAACGCAATCGGTTCTTACGCACGCTCCTCAGTGCATGCGTCGTGTGCGTTAATCGATGGCCCGACGTGTCGTTATATTCCTACAACCTTGAGCGTCATGCCGTGCCTACTCGCACCCCTGGCCACACGCCGTCACTCGGCGCGATCTCACATTATCAGCAAGGAATTGTTATCCCTACAACTGCGCAGGCTTTCGCGGTTGCGCTGTACAGCTCTCCGATGCGTTTTCGGGTTGTACAGCCGTGCGTTGTTCGTTTCTGGCGAAGCCCCCAGCACGTGGAGCGAACATGGCGAACGTCACAGCGAACAACGCATGGCGGTACAACCTGACGACACGCCGGAGGGCCACGGCAATCCCCGCTACACCTGCCCCTCCTCGCGTCGACCCTCCTCACTGCTATTCCCTCCGCCGTCACTGCTGCCTGTGCATTAACATCAACCTGTGATGGAATGTGTGCTTGAAGTGCATTGTCCATAAGGCAGTTATCCTGTGCCCCTACAGCTAACCGGGAATTTGTCATCGGCAGACAGGGCCACAGCAAGATTAATGAGCTGCGAGAGCCCGTGCCCGCTCACGTGAAATTCCCACCGCCCTCGTCAGCAGCCCAGGCACCGCCGATACCGGCGCCGCCGCCGCCGCCGCTGCCACACGACCCACAGGATCCCACGCTGCTCATTCCCACCGCCTCGGCCCCCTGTCATAGCCATGCGCTGATGATCCAGAGCGACCACGCGCACGCACATCATCATCACCACCACCAGCAGTACCAGCAGCAGCAGCACCAGCACCACCAGCAGCACCACCAGCAGCACCACCAGCACCAGCAGCAGCAGCATGCGTCCAGCCCCACCACAGGACTGGCGCATTATCTCTCCAGCATCAGGTGGGCGGCTCCCACCCCGCCCCGGCGTACCCTCTACGTCCTGTGAGCCGTGGCAGTCGGGGGTGCTTGGTTTGGTTTGGTGGGGCAGTGCGGGAACTCGCTGGCAAAGACACGAATTGGACCTCTTAAGTCTTTAGGCGCTTGTGGCGATCGGTGCCCCCCCCCCCCCCCCCCACCACTCCTCCTCTAGCATGGGAGCTATTGACGCATTACAGACGAATGTAATGTAACGATCGTCCCCATGCTATCGACGGTCAATCTCGTGCCACCCGGTAGGTGGTGGTGGGTTTAATCTGTATTCTTATTTTTGTTGCTGTAGGTCAAACACAGAAATTGCACCGTGATTTAAAGACAAACTGGATAGCAGCATGAACAACACAACACTCGATGCATTTCATCATTTGCATGGTAACGCTAAACGTATCTCTCCCTGGTACTCGCAGCAGTAACACGCTGCCAGTACTCAACATCACATCCCCCGATGGCCGCTTCTGTCCATTCGTCTTCTAACTTGAGAGGTCTGACACGTCACTCGGCAGGGGAGTCCACGGAGTGGAGAGTCTAGGTTTGGCAGGGGGTGGGGGAGTGTTTATGAATGGGGGGGGGGGGGGGGCGACCGGCAGCGATCACGACAATCATAATCCTACTGCAATAGAAATTGGAGTAGTAGTAGCCTCACAGAATGCAACGTGTGTGTGTGCTTTTGTCTCGATATTGGTAAAAAATTACTTTTATGGAACAGTGAAGTTCCGTAAAACAGCGTGTCTTCATGTACACCCTTCGTCCCAGTCCAAATCACAATACGTGCTACCTGTGATGAATATTTATTGAACCAAGGCTGAAGTTTAATGATCGGATGATGAGGTTTTGTTGCTTATCATAACTGTGTCCAATCTTGAGAGATAATCTGTACCTGAGCAACAGGTTCCAGGAAAGTTTATCGAAATCATGATCATGATCATCATCATCATAAAACATTCCGCCACCATCCCCACTCCTGCACCACCCACCCCAGCTCCACACGTGCCCCGATTTCACCTTTGCCAGCCGACCAACTCTTCAACAATGCGACCGCGTGATCAAAACAGTGCCCCATATAACTGTTCCCAAACAATTGGCAAAAGCATGCAATGCGGTGTTAAGGATTGCCGAACAACAAAAAGTGAAGCGTTCACAAGGGTTGTCCTCAATTTCTCTTTTCCAAAATTCCAAAGTATTCTTCATGTGGGGCTTTCTGGCCAGACGCCTGTGCATTCGCCCGGTGGAATGGGATCGAACGTCCTCTCGATTTTGTCATGCCGCCACCTCGGCCTGCGGGTCCTGGCTCCCCCTGCCGGGCTCGGCGCGCAGACACCCGAGCCAGAACCACGGCTCCCAGCGGCAAACCCAAACAGCTGGCGGCGAAGTGTGCCGTGCCCTAGAGCAGTGGTTATTATTATTATTAACATTGACTGCAACCTTGCACCCCTTTTGGTTCTCGGTCGTCATTGTTGTTAAATGTTGTTGATAAACGCATAGGGTTTGAGTAAACAAAGTAGTTGTGCTTAACGTGCCGGTGCTTCATTTGTGTTTCGATTATTTACCTCCTAAAAAACAAATCTGGCCATGTCTCGCACCCCCAGAGAGGGCATCTCGCACGCCCAGGGGGTGCAGCGTGCACCCCAGAGTAAAGAACCACTGCTCGAGAGAGTTTGTTGGGAGAGCGGTGTTCTTCAGTCTCTCATTCCAGACCGTTGAACAACGTGCCCAAGTGTGGTCATGACAATCCCAATGGCAATTCATTTGAACGTGAATCCTATATGACCCTAAAAAATTCACCTACATTTGCGAATTCCTCGAACCACCAATTGTGCTTTCATTTCATAACATTTACAGAGTGATTTACAGTTGCTCATTTAAAAAACATTTTTTATCAAGGCGATCCTCTCAAAGTCGGCCCTTTCGCCTCCCCACTTACATCATCTAAGATATTCTATAACATTCACATTTGTCGACAGCTTTAATTGTTCATTTTGTTTATTTGTTTTGTTGCATCGTGTATTGAACAGGGTAGAGGGGGGGGGGGTGAAGTTGGTCAAGAGCATTCAAAACAAGATGCCCCACAAAACGACTCTCATGAAAATAACAACGAGCGTAGTCATCACAAATCCCCCAGAGCTCTCGGATGTGGCTTCAGGTTGCACCGCATGTTGCGTTCCATGATGTCCGACGTTTCGCTGCACCTGTTGGGAACTTCTTTCAGGAACTGAATGGCTTCCAGCGTGTGGAGCGAAACGTCGTACATGGTGCCGAACGACATGCGGCACAATCCGAAAACGCATCGGAGAGCGACGCTGCCACGTGACCATCTTATTCCAAACGGCTGCTTCTCCTTCACAGAGCGCTAATTATACAGACAAATTTACAGAACAAATGAAATAGATAAACTTAACCTGAACCAGAGCTTTTTAATTAGTGGGCTTAGTTCAAACATTGTAACTGGTTAGTTTAACACGTAGGCTTTATTATGAATTGTAACTGGTTAGTTTAACACGTAGGCTATATTATGAATTGTAATTGGTTAGTTTAACACTTAGGCTTTATTATGAATTGTAACTGGTTAGTTTAACACGTAGGCTTTATTATGAATTGCAACTGGTTAGTTTAACACGTAGGCTTTATTATGAATTGTAACTGGTTAGTTTAACACTTAGGCTTTATTATGAATTGTAACTGGTTAGTTTAACACGTAGGCTTTATTATGAATTGTAACTGGTTAGTTTAACACGTAGGCTTTATTATGAATTGTAACTGGTTAGTTTAACACGTAGGCTTTATTATGAATTGTAACTGGTTAGTTTAACACTTAGGCTTTATTATGAATTGTAACTGGTTAGTTTAACACGTAGGCTTTATTATGAATTGTAACTGGTTAGTTTAACACGTAGGCTTTATTATGAATTGTAACTGGTTAGTTTAAAACGTAGGCTTTATTATGAATTGTAACTGGTTAGTTTAACACGTAGGATTTATTATGAATTGTAACTGGTTAGTTTAACACGTAGGCTTTATTATGAATTGTAACTGGTTAGTTTATTATGAATTGTAACTGGTTAATGATTAAAGTTAACTTTTATTTCCATCTTATCCTCCTACCTTTCTCCAGAATCTTTTCATATTTTGCTTTGAAAACCCGGTGAAGAATACGATTTGATCACCAATCCAAGGCGCCGGCCAAACTGCGTTGTGGTCAAATGCGTCCGATGCACAAATGACATTGAATGTGGTACGTCGACGTATCGAAATACACGTGTTAAAGCAATACGATGTCTAGTGAGCAGCTATACGTACGCGCACCGGAGGCTCTGCTATCCACAGTGGTTAGGGCGGGTGTACACGTTGTGAATTGTGCTGGGCTGCGGGTGCACGTACGCGTGTGGCGAAAGGGGTGGTTGTGCTTGTGCAGTCGTTTTTCCCACTGCTCTCCGAACCTGCGTTGGATTCCTGGCCATGGTTAACATCGGTGGCAACTGGTATCTGAATCTGTTGGGGGCTTCCCCTAAGTCAAGTGGGTCTCACACGCGAGTAGCTCGTGGAATATGAAAACATCCAAATTGGAGAGACAAATGCAAGCTGGGCGCATTGCTGCCCACACCGCTCCATCGTGGGTTCAGGTTAACGGGCGCTCGTTAAGATACAGCACTTGCCCTTGCGGTGCGTGAGGCTGTTCGGGGGATCTTTGTGTCTGCGCATGTCACGCGTTGAGCCGCAGCATTTACGCAAAATAGCAGCGGTTATTGAGAGGGTGGTGAACTTGGGAATGCGGCGAACCCACCGTGTGGATATCAGAGTCTCCTGCAACACTGTCCCTCGTTTCTTTTTCTTGCAAATCCAATTGTCAAAAAAATCCCTAGAATCTCTCCGGAGAATTTTCCCATGAGTATTTGCTTTTCATAAATTAACTTTTATTACCAGTGTTTTTTTTTCTCAGTTCTAACATTGTGACTTGTCTCCCTCTCTTGCTCCCAAATCACATTTTTCCCATACCCTGACCCTACCCTTATGTGTCAGCACTCCCCTGAATCCGTGCCAAAAACGCTATCCCTTGTCAACATTTACCACCCCACACCACTTTATTGTTTCTACTACAACTTTAATTTACTTTTATTTGTATTATTTCATCCTTTACCTTCAATTCCATTGTTATCGTCCCTCCCCCCTCCCCCCTTTGTCCACTTTGTCCCCTCTGCCGTGCCCCCTGTGCCCCCCTGCCCGCTGGTTCTGTCCGCAGTGTAGACATGTCTAAAGCCCCCGATCCGTCTGTGACGTTCTCAGCGGGCTTTGATTCGGCCGCCACCTCCGTTAGCTCCGCCGGACTCCCCCTAGCCGCCATCCCGCTGGCGACCGTGCCCTTGCCTCCGATGCCCTTCTCCCCGGCAGCGATGCCCCCTTACCCTCCGTACCCGTGCCCCATTCCCACCCTGCACCCCCTGAGCCTGCCGGGCCTCAAGCCGTTCCCCTTCGCCCCATCGTCGGCCGCTGCCGCTCGCGCAGTGGCGGCGGGATTTACCGTTGAGCATGGCGGGCCGGAGGCCGAAAGCCACCACGCTGGCTACAGCCCCCAATTCGCCCCGGCGGCGGCAGCGGCGTCGGGAGTGCCGTCCTCGTCCGCCGCCCTGTGCGCCGCTCGGAAAGTTGAGCGGCCCAAGTTTTCCCCGTACTGAGACCGGACCACGGGGCAGCGGCCAGAGTTTCTGCCTTCACGGTGGTCGATGTTGTTGTTGTTTAGAGAAAAAAAAAACACCCAAATGCCACCTTCGATCAAGAAATATTATTCGCGATGTGTTTTGCGTGAAGAAAAAAAAAACCCAGCGCAATCTAAATATCAATCTGTAAATAAAGTGTTCTTCACTGATGCTGCACACATCTTGCATGTGGCCTTCATGAGGCCTGGTTTTTTGTTGTTGTTGCAAACTATCTTAAGGAACAACATTTTTGAAATGGCTCACATTTCTCTGGCTACGCGTGCCCATTCGATGTGGTTCGATCGAATTATAAAGAAAAAAATTTCGACGCAGATTTGCAATTAAAAAACCAAACGACTACCCGACGAAGACTTAGGAACTCTGGTGTCCACGGTGGTCTTCTCTTGATGGTTACACTTTTCTTGGCATCAACAAACCCAAGTT